CTGTCCCTTGTCGTCTTCAGCCAATCAGAAGCAGCCCTGTTTCCCTCCCCTGGCCTCTGTCTGAGTCCTCAGACTGGGTCGGTGGTCCTGGATCCGGCCTTGTGTTCCCTCCCTTTGTGAAATCCCCACCTGTCAGATTCCCAAACCTGATCCAGAGCATCCAGCAGGGCAGGAAGCAGGTCTTGCAGAGTCATTTAAAACTCCCCAAAGAGCCCACAGTGCTCTTCAGATTGAGGAGTCCTGAGATTCATCCTAAAACCCAGGAGAAGAAGGAGCCCCCGTCCCCCCGGGCTGAGGGGGGCTCTGCAGACAGGCTGAGAGAGGTGTTGGAGGGGCCTCTGGACCTGTCAGAGCGAGGGAGGTCCAGATCCAACGAGAGTAGCAGTGATAATTCAGAGAGAGCCCGGTGCAGCCCGGACCTGAAGCCTGATCCAGCAGCTGCTGCCCCCCCTCCTCCTCCTGTCCATCACCAGACCAACAACAGGACCAGGCCCCCCCCACAGACCACATCCATCTGGTAACTAACACTCAGAGTATTATTATAAAAGTCCAGTGCGTTGTGTTTCCTACAGACCTACAGACCTACAGACTGCATACAGTGTTTCCTCTAAATGTTCAGGGTCACTTGTCGTGTGTTTGTGTACAGCTCACCGCTCTGTAGAAGAAGAGGATTTTAGCATGAGTGTTACAGCACCACCTACTGGTCTGGCATCTCTACTACAGCGATTTGAGTCGTTTTTTTAAGGATATGTGTGCATTATCTTCTGAATGTGACGTAAAGAGTAAAATGTGTAATGACGTTCTCCTGCCAGCAGGAGGCCACAGAGCACAGCGAGGAGGAGAAGAAGGTTCCTGCCCTCACTTTGTCTCTACGTCCAGGTACACATTCACACCTGAGAGGAATCATATCAGAACCTGCACAGGTGTATTACTCACCAGTGTGTGTGTGTGTGTGTGTGTGTGTGTGTGTGTGTGTGTGTGTGTGTGTGTGTGTGTGTGTGTGTGTGTGTGTGTGTGTGGTGCATGTGTGTGTGTGTGTGTGTGTGTGTGTGTGTGTGTGTGTGTGTCACAGTAGTGGTGTTGGAGAATCTGAACTCTGCTCTGCACAAACAGGAATCCTCTTCACACAGTAAGGTGAGAAGTGGGACAGACTGCAGGTATAAATGTTAGAGTTTATTAGAGGTTTGTTCACCTGTTGCTTCCTCTGCATCGTCACAGTCATCCTCACCTGCAGCAGAGACAGGAAGCAGCTGTGACGGACAGGACGAGGAGGAGAGTAACCAACGCTGCAGGAGGAAGAGGAGGTGTGAGGAGATGCAGACAGACAGAGACTCAGAGACAGAAGGTGAGAATCAGGGCAGAGTTAATTCTTCTTCCTGTCCTGAATGTGAGCTTCACCAACAACATACAAGTGATTGTACCCGACCTAAAAAGTCTCTTAATGTTTCTAATAAGCTACACGAGCAGAAATGTGCTCAAACTAGGATAAATATTGGAGATGCTTTTGAAAAATGGAGAGAGGTTAGAACACAGAAAGGTTTACAGACCCATGCAGAGCTAGCTAAACACTGAAGCTTCAGTGTCCACCACATGGTAACCTGTGTGAGCATCCACTCTAGAGAGGAGGGGGGCGGGGGAGACAGCTCTCTATAATGTTTAGAATTTAGACTGCAGTACCCATTCCAAACACTAGGGGTCAGAGTTACATACTGCTCCTTTAATGTGGACAGAAATTTGATATATGAACCATATTTTCAATAGTTTATGAAATAGTAGGACGGTCAGATGCTAAATTAAATGCATTTGAAAATAAATCTTGTAAGGCCTTTATTTTGAGTGTTTGTGCTGTGCCAGGTCCAATCAGGTTTTGGTGTAAATTGTCTTTAGGTCCTGACAGAAATTACTCATGTTCTCTGAAAAAGGAACAAAGAAAATCCATTACCTGTATCAGTTTGTAAGTCTGTAAAAACTTCAACCAATGTCTGCCACGAGGTACCAATCTGATGAACCAATCACACGCCTCCCTGTCTCCCTGCTCGTTCTCTACCTCTTGCATGCATGGGCCAAAGCGATAAGCTGAGGTCCGTTTTTAGAGCACTGAGGGGATGCTACTTTCATAATTACGCTAGTTTTCTAAGATTACCAACCCTGCCTTTAAGCCCAGAAACAGGAAGTGATTACGGATCCCAAAGTGAGGTAGGTCAAACAGCTCAAAGAAACGGTAACAAAGGTCAATGTGTGATGTCATAAGGTCAATGTGTGATGTCATAAGGTGGATATTACTTTGGACTCGTCAGCTGAGCTGTCTGAGAGTTTGTTAAAGTGAAATGAGACATTCAAAGATGCAGCAGTGTCCTTCTCTTACATCACTGAGACTACAGGGAGACACTGAGAACCACTATCTACGGAGAGCCTGAAGGGACAAACATGAGATTAATCAAGATTAAAAACATGAATGCATTAATGTCAGACCTTCATTAATCGTGATTAACTCGTTAATGCTGACAGCTCTACAGTTTATTTTAGAAAAGAAACAGGAAGTCAGACTCTGTATCCGTCCACTTAACGCTCCTCAAACTTCTAACAAGAATAAAAGTCAAAATGAAAGTTAAAATGTCATGAAGAGAATCTTAACCTCTGATGAGCGATAACCCTTTCTTCACTTCCTTCAATCTTTTTATTGTTGTCGTCTTTTTCTTCTCTCCGTCTGATGTGAACAGAAATGTTTCCTGTGTTTCCTCACAGACAACTGAGAGAAAGATCCAGATCACAGTGAGGACCGAGGAGAAGAGCGCCAGCTAAGGACAACAATAACAGATTTAACTGGGTTTTTTTTGCCCATTGGGGGGCGCCAGAATCAAGTTCTTCATATATTACTACCTAAAAAATAAAAGAATGAGGAGACAGTGGAGACCCCGTCTGTGACTTTGTGAGCTGCTATTGGCTCTGCAGCTCTGCAGCTCTGCAGACTTTGGTATGTCTGCCTTCCTGTTCGTCTGCAGGTCTATAGGTCTGTCTGCAGGTCTGCAGATCTGTAGGTCTTTATGCAAGTCTGTATGCAGGTCTGGAGGTCTGGAGGTCTGGAGGTCTGAAGGTCTGCAGGTCTGGAGGTCTGCAGGTCTGCAGGTCTGCAGGTCTTTTTGTTTGTTCTCTGCAGCAGAAACTGAATTGAATGCAGAGCAGTTGATTTCCAGGCCACTCAACCAAACTGTGATTTGACAACATTCAAACAATCGTGACATTAAGCTGGTCAACATGTTAGCAGACCCCTGCTGACCCCTGCTGACCCCGCCCCCCACCTCCACTATGACACAACAATATATCAGAGTCTGTCTGACTTTCCTTTCTTTTACGATTCTGAAAAATATTCATGAATGTTTCTCGAGCCTCGAGTCATTAACTTTCAGCTTCTGTATTTTTGTTTCACTTTCCCGACATCACCGTCACAGCCCGGTTATTTTTACTGTAAACACCCGCCGCCCCCCCAGCAGCCACCCCCAGCCACCCCCCCAGCCCTGCTTTAAGTGACCAACAAAGAAGAACAGACAAAAACACTGGTTGCTCTTCCTCTTTTTCAGAAGGCAGATATTTTGCAAGTCTGAACTTTCCACTCTCAGCTGTGACTGAGACGGAAGGCCAGAAGTGAGACGGGTGGATGAGGGTGAGACAGGTGGATGAGGGTGAGATAGGTAGATGAGGGTGAGACAGGTGGATGAGGGTGAGACAGATAGATGCGGGTGAGACAGGTGGACAGAGGTGAGACAGGTAGATGAGGGTGAGACAGGTAGATGAGGGTGAGACAGGTGGACAGAGGTGAGACAGATAGATGAGGGTGAGACAGGTGGATAGAGGTGAGACAGGTAGATGAGGGTGAGACAGGTAGATGAGGGTGAGACAGGTGGACAGAGGTGAGACAGATAGATGAGGGTGAGACAGGTGGATAGAGGTGAGACAGGTAGATGAGGGTGAGGCAGGTAGATGAGGGTGAGACAGGTGGATAGAGGTGAGACAGGTGGACAGAGGTGAGACAGGTAGATGAGGGTGAGACAGGTGGGTGAGGGCAAACCTTCATGTTTCACTTCTTGTTTCACTACAGTTACTTTTACAGTACACACTTCAGTTGGCCAATGAGGACCCTCCATTCACCGTTCCCAGCATATAGCAGCCAATGAGAGATGTTGTTTAAAGAGGTCATATTATGCCCTTTATGGGGTTCATATATTTCATCTATGTACCTACTAAAGTATGTTCACAATAGCTAAAGTTCTAAGTGTAAGTGTCTGTTTTCATGTACTGCCGCTCCATACACCAGCTCGCTTCTGACTCTCTCTCTAAGGCTCTGAAGTGCCCACGTTTAGAGTCCCCATGTGTGCCAAGTCTGGTGTGATTGGTCGGCCTGTCGGCTCTGCCGTAATTGGTCAGTTGCTCAGCACGGTTCTCGGAAATGTCCCGCCTCTTTTACCATATTGGGAATGCAGCCACTGGCTCCGTCCAAGGAGAGCATAAACTAGCACCTTAGAACTACTGTGCTACCGCAGGCTACGGTATATCGTGGGCGTGCTACAGAAGTTAACGGGCACGCAACATGAGCTGCTGGGCTTGCCACAACGAGCCAATGGGCTTAGATCAGTGATGTCCCTGTTCCGATGTATCTATTCCAGGCTAATTGCACGGGACTGTGATGGTGACTGATGTTTCTTGTTGCCAATGAAATTATAAACCCGTTGACATTCTGCTTTGATGGAACACTCTGAAGTAATGAATAAAACATCAATCATCCTCATGTTTCTGTTTCTTCTCTAATTATCTGTTAATCTCTTGTAGTTTTCAGTGCTTCCTGTTATATTTTTTAATTTATTTCCCCTGTGTCACTAGTCTCACCTGTGTTTTTATTTTTATTTCTTAAGATTTTATTTTTGGGCTTTTGTGCCTTTATTGAAGAGATAGGACAGTGGAGAGAGAGGGGGGGGGGGAATAACATGCAGGGAAAGAAGCCACAGGTCGGATTCGAACCCAGGCCGTCTGCTTGGAGGACTATACCCTCCATACATGGGACGCATGCACTAGCCACTGTGCACCCAGCGCCCCCTCACCTGTGTCGTTAGTCTCACCTGTGTCTGATTACCTCAGCGTGTTATTTAAGTTATTTAAGTTTTCCTTCCCTTCTGTGTTGGTTCATACGTCTTCCTACCCATGGTCATTTGGTTTCTCCTTGTGGTCGCTCCATGTTTTGTTTTCCTTCTCCAGTGGTTTGTGGAGTTATTTTTGCACCTAGACTCTGTAAGATTAAGTTTTCAAATGTAACTTTAATTCTTTTTTTTTTTTTGATTCTCCATTTGGGTCCTGTTACCCAGTTACTTTTTTTTATTATTCACTTGTGTGTTTATCTGATACTAAACATTGAGTCAGTATCATGTGAAGCTGCTCCATCGTCCCTTCTGGGCCTCCGTACATGTGTGGTGTGACTGTGTCTGCAGAGACTCCGTCCACTGACTGGATTTCACTGTTCTGGTTTGTTTTGGTTGACTTGGGACGTTTCTGGGCGGAGCTGGTGTGTTTCCTCCAGCCAATGACAGCGCAGCAGGTGAGTTTAGAAGTGGATACAATTCAGGGATTGGACGAGATTTAATGCTTCATGCTTCTGGAGGTGATTAGCCCAGAAAGAGGCTTTACAAACATTTCTACTGACACCCCCTCCAAGTCATTATTGTGTTTTATGAGTCGGTCACTGATGTGGCTCTTCAACCAAATAATAATACATATCCCAGGTGTGTAAATACCATATACCCCATATATGTGGTGCCCCGTGTGAAGACACTGTGTATGCGGACCTCTCAGAGTCGTCCTCAGTGACTACGGGGAGTGTTTCTGTAGAGAAAAAGATGTCACATGATGACGGACAGCCAGTACAGCAAGTCTGGTTTGAGAATAGGGATGTGGAAAGGTCGTTAATGGAACATGAATTCATCTGTGATCACAATCCAGTTCAACCAGTTCATTCACACAGAGCATGTAAACTGGGAGAGATTGTTCAGCTGACTCCCGTTTAAATGTTTATTTTAAATGAGCACTAGTTTGGTCACACCTCCACCTGCAGGGAATGATAGGTTAAACTTTTACTGACGTTAACTTCTTCCTGTTTCACATCACTTCTTCATTTTTAGACTGAGCACTGACATGAAAATAATTAACATCAAACTCCAGACGGAGCGGCTCAGCCACCAGCAGGCGCCTCATGAAGTCCTTCTGAGTCAGACTTTGTAGGTTGAAAACCTGCTAACCCCTAATCCCAGACCAGCTGCAGCTCATGGAACAAGCAGTTACATACACACATACACTCCTAATAATTATCACAAAAAGGAAATCAAACAGAATCATAAATCCAGGAGATGATTTACACATTCTGTGAAATATTAACAACATACAAGAAATGAGAGCAATGAGTGAAAAGGGTCTCTTGATGTTTGACAGCTTTCCCTTCCAGATCTGAAACTGCAGCTCACAGACGGGTGACAGCAGTTTACCTTATGTATACACCCTATTTTGGCTGACATCACGATGGCATCATGATGGCATCACAATGATGTCAGGGTTTCATGTGGAGGCAAAATGAAGATAAACACAAGGGGAAAACAACAGCGATAGTATGATTTTAAAATGTGTGGAAGGAGTCAAATGTTGTCATCCTCAATGTAAATCTGTAAATGGCTCGTTAGTGTCATGGAGATGTGGTTATAGTAATATCTCAGGCTATGGGGGAGGGGCCTAATGTGAGACCTGTTCATGGGGACCAGATTAATCCTGGAGACAGCCCTTGTTAAAAGGAACAGATAGTAGAAGGGATGCAACATTTACAAAGTCTGAAATGTGATTCTCCGCAGCAGGACGAACACAAACACTTCTGTGAACAGCTGCTGAACATTGACTCTCCCTCATCAGCCCTCCTGCTGAGAGTCTCTACTTTTTATATCTGTCTTTTATCCATTGGCTGTGTTAAACATTCTGCCTTTGTGTGTTTGCTTCTGATCCCTTCATTTCATTTTAACCTCTACCACTCACTCCCCCTCCCCCCATCTCTTCTTCTCCCTCCCTCTGCTCTCTCAAAAAGAAGTCTGTTTCTAATCTCGCCCGTTGATTAAGGATTACTGCAGCTCTCTCTCTCTCTTTCTAATTCCCTCTCTCTCCCTATCTCTCTATGCCCACAGCTCCACCCACAGGATGAGCTGAGAGCTGTCAAACTATTATTTGAATACTTTTAGAGCTGTCCGCAAACCATGCAAATCTGTCCGTCACACCTGTCCAACATCCAAGTATCCATTTATACATTTGTACATTTATACATTTATCGACTCTTCCCTCCTTCCGTCATGAACATGAAGCAGCAGAGGCGGAGAGAAGGTTTCACTCAACATGTTCAGTAAAATAACATCCAATGATATGACACTAAATTTACTGTTAGGGCTACTGATAATAATATACATGTTAGTTTAGTACTTTAAA